ACTTAAAATCATTTTTCCTACAAAACATTTTTTAGACAAATCTTTTCCCTGCAAAACATTTTCTTTCCACCCATTTTCCATTCTTACAATCAAACGGACCCTAAATTTCAATTCAAAGAAACCACTGCAGCACTACCCTCCTATGTTTAGTGAGGAGTAAGTGGAGGATCGAGAACCTTCCCAAGAAGAAGCCATCCCCATTTCTCATGACGTTTTACTAAACAAGATTGAGGAAGATCAAGAAGAAAATGTATCACCTCATCCTAAGTCCACGATAAGAAAATGAGGCAACTCGAGGGAAAAGAAGATTGTAGTATCCCACCACCATTGATGAATGATGATGTCAAAATCCAATGAATATTCAATTATACTATTTATACATCAAGGTTGACACTTCGAATGACTCCCCCTCACAAAAGGGGGCTCACGATTATTTTATTATGTGGGGACTCCTCATGTGAGGGGGTGTCAATCCCGAATAAACAAGTTGCTTAATTGGTGAATATTTTTCCAATGGGAGCACCTCCCTAAAGGATACACAAATTCACAAACCGCACTTTTTCAAAATAAATCATTAGAGCATCTAGAGATATTAGGTAATAATGTGTTGTTGTGTGAATTCTTAGTGTTGGGACAATTCGCACCAAACTTAGTGGAAAAGAAAAAACAAGAAGAAAGATAAAAACACGAATTAAATATGATTCGGCAAACTACCACAACCACATGAAAATAATTCTTTATTAGTTGTTAAAATCACACAGTCCCTGTTTGATTTACATTTTTCTCAAAATTCATTATTTTAATACTTATTTTCAATCATACATTTTTCAATAAAATAATATTACAAGCAAATTTTTATTTTTTAATAACATATTTCTCATCACATCACATCATAAAATATATTTTTCTTCTCAATAACGTGCATCAAACAACCCCACGGTAAAATATTCTCGAAGTTAAAAAAATAAATGTATAAAAATAAATAAGATGGTAAATGTGAATATTTTAATCTCGTAGCGTCTCTCTGTCCCTCTCTTCGACCGCCCCACCTGCCTCATCTCCTCTAATTGGCCATAGCCTCTTTCGAGCTCCATAAAAAAAATAAAAAAGGACAAATTGGTATCTAACTTGGTCATCCGTCAACCTCATTCTCACGGGTGAAGGGGAGCGGTTCAACGGCAGTATTTC